TGATCATTTCTTACTACCTCTAGCATGCCAACATCGCGCCTACCTTAAAGACACAACCGATTTTGTCAATAAAATAAAAAATCTTCGAGTTCCCTCTAATGCTATTTTAATTTCTATCGACGTTTCTTCTATGTATACCAATATCGATAACACTACTGGTTTAACGGCAGTTCGTAAAGCTTTTAATAGAAACCCAGATCCAAACAGACCCGACGATGCAATTCTACAGCTTTTAGAGATTTGTCTTAGTCGAAACGATTTCACATTTAATGGTAAAACATATTTACAAACTTCAGGGACAGCAATGGGCAAACGATTCGCCCCTTCGTACGCAAACCTTTTCATGGCAGAGTGGGAACGTGAGGTGTTGCCCTCTGTCCATTTGACCCACTTTTTTACGGACGCTTTTTGGATGACATTTTTATGGTTTGGACTTATTCTATCGAACAGTTTTGGGAATTCTTTGAAATTCTCAACAACCACCATCCTTCTATCAAACTAACCGCAAACGTGAGTGACAAAAGCATAGACTTTCTCGATACCACAGTCTTTAAGGGAGATTCCATAGCAGAAACAAATAAACTGGATATTAAAGTGTATTTCAAAGAAACTGATACTCATCAACTCTTGCACAAGAGCTCCTTCCACCCAAAACATACCTTTTCTGGTATAATTAAGTCACAAGTTTTACGATTTCATCGAATTTGTACAAGATCTTCTGATTTCAACCAAGCCTGTACGATTGTTTTCTCAAAACTGAAAGAGCGTGGGTACTCTAAACGATTTTTACGAAACATAAAAAATTCCACCTTAGCACAGATAGCAGCTAAAAACAGACTTTATGCCGAAGTACCTCCAGGTTTAAGAAGTGCTCCATGTTTGTCCAGTAGATGCAAAACATGTCCCTTTATATCAGAAACTCATTATTTTGTAAGCAACTCTACGAATAAAAGGTACCCGATCCAGGAACATCTAACATGTGAACATTCGAATGTAATATATTTAATTTCATGCAAGAAATGCCCCAAACAATATGTAGGAGAAACTAAGAATAATTTACGAACTCGCTTTAATGCTCATAGGTCAGACATCAAATTAAAGAAAGACAAGCCTGTTTCCTCGACGACCATTCAATAGACGATCTCACCCTAATCCCAATTGAGCGTATAGAAATTGACTTGCCCGAAGATGAAACTACCAAATTCCGTCAATCTAGGGAGGCCCATTGGATTGAGACATTGAATACAGCAAGACCTATAGGACTAAATATTCATCATAATGTAGGCATAGCACCCTTTGTTGTCCCGTTTAATACAACCAGCAATCGAGCAAGCAAGATAGTTCATGCCCACTATAAGAGCCTTCAAGAGAAATTCCCCCATGTCTATAAGCAGAAAATGATAGTTGCATATTCAAAAAATAAGAACTTAAATGATAATATTGTTCATAGTAAACTAAAAACAATCAGTACATAACAGATACTATACTTCTCGCCCATCGGGCGAGTTATTTTTTCTAATTTCAGATCAGAATAAGAACAGAGGAAAACCCAATATCAAAACCCTTAATCCTAATTTCTAAATAAAGTGTCTGCTCCACCCTAGGCCTGTACATTTGGGAGAATCAAACCAAAGTGTTCCATTCTATCTAAAAAGTGGAGTGTTCCATTTCTATCCAATCATGATTTTGGTGAGGAAAAATCAAATTGAATTTAAACATCTCATTCACTAATATATATTTACTAAAAGCAAACTATCATTTCACCTAAACTATATTGACTGATGATAGGCCAAGCAATGTGCAATGCCCCAAATTGTGTTAACATCAAGTCTTAAACAACCTACCCATGTCTACAGAATTCTGTTCATTTTCCTCCCCATCATCATCTTCCGCTTCTACTTCAAACTCACCTGAAAAATATTTACAGCAAAACATAAATATATGATCATTAAATATAAATGATTTAACATCAGATAATAAATATTATGAAAACAGATGTAACTACATGTAAAATTCACAGTCTTAAAACTAAATCTAGCTTGTTATAGTTTGAGATGGGTTTGGTGTAAAAAATATATTTACCATCAGGATTAATATCGATTTCATCAAGTGATTTTCCTTTAAAATCTCCAAGTGCTCCCTTCTCCATTGCTAGTAGAACTTTGCTTACTTTAGCGACTTGAATTGTACTCTATGGTAACCTATAAAATTCTCGATGAACTCTTATGTCATGCCCAAGGAATCCAGCCAAGGCATCCATTTCATTTTCTTTCAGACTCAGTATTTGAGAAACTGTAGCAATATGTTTTCTCAGAGATGTAGAGGTTAGATGTTCAGGGTTTTTGGCACCACATTCTTTGGCAAATTTTCTAAGTATATCAGAACTTCTTAATGGTGTTGTGGATTGACCACATCTGGCAAATACATAAATATTCTTCTTATCAATGTCGCATTTACCTCTGGTCTGTATCAATAGGTCTATTCGTGATTTTTGGGCATTAGTGAAGAGTATTGGTACCCTTCTACCTCTTTTTCCTCTTATTTCTACCCGATTTAATGTTTCAACTAATTTTTTCTCAAATCTAGACAGTGAACTATATATATCTTCTTGAACTTCTCCACCAACCTTTAACCCCTGCAAATACTGGCTAATCTCGATCCTTTCAGCTTCACCAGCACGACGTCTATTAAACAATATTAATTGCGCTAGAACTATTCCCGCTAATTTTCTCCAAGATGACGTGTCTGGTTTATTCTTCAGAGTTTCAAAAGCGTCTTTACCTTCTTCATCCAAATATATATTTAACAGTTTAAGATCTGCCGATAGTGGTAATCGTTTTGGATTATTAAATTTCCTTTTATGAAGGGTGTTTAAAGCATTCACTTTCCATCATTTCTAAAAATTTCATGGTTTCAGTACGAGTTACGTCATCCATATCTTCAAGAGCTTTGACCTTTACTATGTTTGCACATTTCTTTAAAGTGTGGCCAATTTTTAAAGCAAGAGAAGGAGTATCATACGTATTTGTCGTTTCATTGTACCCTGCTGTTTATTTCACACCATCAATGACATATCTGAAATATGCGGGCCTGAAACAATCTTTTAAATTTGTAATATTGCTGACAGTTTTTCTTATGATCATCAAAAAACGAGCAATCTCTCTCATCTTCTGTCTGACATAATTATATTGGTGGGGGTTGTCTCGACACTTGCTATACAGTCTTCACCAAAACTCAAAATAGTTATGTCATTTCGTATAACCAATGAAGTTTTATCATTCTGCATGTTATATAATGTGTCTTTCCTAAATGATCCCTATACTTTTTGTGCTGGTAACAATGCAGCACCTTCTGTGTGGTGTCTTTTCTTCGTTTTACTATTGGTACTCTGTTTCTTAGAACAATGAGCAGCATGTCTCCACAGGTCTTTCTTTTTATAGAAACCATAACAGCTTGAGCATGGGAGGAAGTCAGTACTTTCAACAGTTTGACCTATACACGGTCTTTTGCAGGGAATGATGGATCCTGAGCCATTACCAATCACTGTTGTATTTTGTTTGTAGTTTCCAAGGTTTGTTATTTCTTTCCATTTTCTTTTCCTTCGTTTGGAATTCTTAGGCAAAGATAATGCAAACGCCACCTCAATCTCATCACTATGTTTCTGTTCTAGATGTCTTGGTAATTTGGCTACACATTTATCACAGTATACACATGCTTGAACTTTATCCCATTTTCTTTTCCCTAGTACATTTGAAGACATGCAAACAGTATTTGTAACTTGACCTACTTCTTCAGATGTAGTACAGGTAACCAACTGACTGTCATCTTCATGTTCAGATGGGTATTATTGATCACGAACTTGTCCTATATTCTGTAGCATTGGAAACAGAACTTCCTCTGCCTCTGAGTTTGAATCTCTAATGCATTCCAAGTTAGGTTTTTTCACCACTGGTACTCTGAATAATTCATCCTCATCAGTTTTTGATGGCGGCACCCATTAAGATCCAGATGAGTATAAATCATCTGAACCATTGCATTCTGTATCTCCAAAACAAGATGTTTTTTCTGGCATTGAAGAAGATGACAATTCTATTGTAGTTAGTTTACATCGAGTTTTTGTTAAAGGAAAATGATGTTTGCTGTTGGCGTGTTTGTAGATTTTCTTTGGTTTTTGCATTACATCTAGTGTAGTTATGAGAGGGTCTGTAGTTTCTTCTTGTGTTGTAGCTTGGATAGAGTCTGTGATTTCTACTTGTTTTGTAGTTTGGAGAGAGTCTGTGGTTTCTAGTTCAGTTGTAGTTTGGATAGAGTCTGTGGTTTCTACTTGTGTTGTAGCTTGGATAGAATCTGTGGTTTCTAGTCCAGTTGTAGCTTGGATAGAGTCTGTAGTTTCTACTTGTGTTGTAGCTTTGATACAGATTGTGGTTTCTAGTATAGTTGTAGATGGGATAGAGTCTGTAGTTTCTACTTGTGTTGTAGTTTGGAGAGAGTCTGTGGTTTCTAGTCCAGTTGTAGCTTGGAGAGAGTCTGTGGTTTCTACTTGTGTTGTAGTTTGTAGAGAGTGTTATTTCTAGTTCGGTTGTAGTTTGGAGAGAGTCGGTGGTTTCTAGTCCAGTTGTAGCTTGGATAGAGTCTGTGGTTTCTAGTTCAGTAGTAGCTTTGATAGAGTCTGTGGTTTCTAGTTCAGTAGTAGCTTTGATAAAGTCTGTGGTTTCTAGTCCAGTTGTAGCTTGGATAGAGTCTGTGGTTTCTAGTCCAGTTGTAGCTTGGATAGAGTCTGCGGTTTCTAGTTCAGTAGTAGCTTCGGTAGAGTCTGTGGTTTCTAACTCAGTACTTTTTCGTGTTTCAGTGGCTGATACATTTTTGATTGTCTTTAATTCAGCCTGTAGAAATGTTACAGTTTGAACCTGCTCTGCAGCTTGTTCAGTAGTTGGATGATGGTCTGTGGTTTCTTTCTGGTGAGTGTTTTGTAGCTGATCTGAGGTTTGTAACTTGCCTTCAATTGGTAATTTGCTGTGTGTTGCTGTAAAATCAAAGATACATTAAGTATTTACATGTTATTTTAATAGTCTTGTAACTCTTATTGTATTGTATTGTATAATGGATTAATAAACAACTGGATCTTTTGAGTTTTTCTTTAAAGTGCCATAATATATCTATATTTAGTTTGTCTTTCACTTTGTATCATCATGTGCTTGAGGACGATAGGCCTGCCTTTTTCTTTCACTTGGTAATTATAGTTATTTAATATAACATACCCAATGATGATAGAGATACAGCTGTTTTCGGATCATTATCAAAATACTGTAATAATAGTACTCTTCTTTTAAGTTTTTCTGTAAAGTAATAATTGAAAGATCTGCTTAATCTCTGTACCAAATGTGGAAACAAGCTTTAATAATTGAGCTTATGAGTAATATAAAAATACCGGTTCATTAGATATTTATAGACCTGGTATTAAGTATTTACATGTTATTTTAATAGTCTTGTAACTCATATTGTATTGTATTGTATAATGGATTAATAAACAACTGGATCTTTTGTGTTTTTCTTTAAAGTGCCCAAATATATCTATATTTAGTTTGTCTTTCACTTTGTATCATCATGTGCTTGAGGACGATGGGCCTGCCTTTTTCTTTCACTTGGTAATTTTAGTTATTTAATATAACATACCCAATGATAATAGAGATACAGCTGTTTTCAGATCATTATCAAAATACTGTAATAATAGTACTCCTCTTTTAAGTTTTTCTGTAAAGTAATAATTGAAAGATCTGCTTAATCTCTGTACCAAATGTGGAAACAAGCTTTAATAATTGAGCTTATGAGTAATATAAAAATACCGGTTCATTAGATATTTATAGACCTGGTTTTGAGATGGGATATTTTTCCTACTAATGAAGAAATTGGTGGCATTTGAGGGGTGACATTTTCACTCAATAATTTGTTTGAAGGAATATGACTGGTCGAGTAGTAAACTCTTGACAAATGAAAAGTATAGTGACGATATACTCGTGTTGAAGGATCATTGGTAAGATCGTATACCGTTGTCAACAGAACATGACCTTATGTTCATCTTCATTAGCGATATTGTTGCAGAAAAGAAAATGTGATGAATATATCAACATTATGAATATATTTATGTTATAAGTGCAGATCTTCAAGTTTCTTACTTGGATTGAGGGTGCCATTAAGGTGGTAGACCTAAGCAAAATAAACTTTTGAAAAATGTATAGTCTAAAGACTCGTCTTCCCCTTCCACAAAATCTGAATCTTCACCACGTAATCCAGGATTCGCCAACCTTTGTTCCTTCTGTGCGTTTTTGGACCAGCAAACCACCCCTCAGTCTCCATCCAAGTCGAGACGTGTATCCAGTCCGTTCCCAATGCTTCAATTCTAACAACTACCAAACCAGTACCAATCACACCGTCGACGACCATTATATCCGCTACCAAACCGTATTATCACCAAACCAAGGACAAATCATTATGGAAGCTACCCGCTCTAAAGAAATCTACCTTAATTATTGGATCATCTAACCTGAATCGAATTACCAAAACCAGTTCAGACACTGAAATACATTCTTACCCCGGTGCCCAAATCCATCACATACAGTCAATTCTGGAATCATACGACCATGATCCCAAACCTACTACCATTATTCTTCATGTAGGCCTCAACAACCGTGATCAGCTACCAAAGACCTCCTTTAACCAAGCCCAGAAATTAATCGCCACAGCCAACAAAACCTTCCCAAACTCCAAGATCCTCTTCACATGTATACCCATTTCAAATAAAATCTCGAAGAAAGCACAACAGAACCTCAGCACTCTCAACAACATGATGATGGGAGTCCAGTATCAACAGCGCAACAATATTACCACCCTACGAAGAAGAATTCGAACCAGTTGATAATCTTCATTGGTCTCCAGAAACAACAAACAGCATTTATTTGTTTTGGATACACCAGCTTCAAGCATCGAGTAAGTCTTTAACCTAATTACTGGGGATAAAAATACTGAGAGGCCACCGCTAGGCCAAACTGTAGTTAACTTGAGCTGTAAAATTCTCACACCCCTTCAGCATTCAATCTTAGACCGTGGAAATTTATTCCCACACCAAAGATAGCTAACTTGAATTATCTCCGACCATCCATTGAACGATTTCAACGAAATCTTAGTTGCACATATTTTTTTCGAAACCGCCCCCTAGAACAATGTTTATTCCTAAATCCACGTAGACACTCCCTCAGGCCGCCGTCCATCCTGAAATATTGAAAGCATTTGCGAGTATGAATAGCAAAACAGTGAACCTTTCCATAACACACGAAAAGCCTAATCTCACACGAGTGGAACGTGAAGCGTTAAACTTACTTAAGAAAGACGATAGCATTGTTATTAAAAAGAGTGACAAAGGTTCATGTTGTGTCATTCTGAATAGGGAGGATTACGTTTCAGAAGCAGAGAATCAACTGAATAATCCTAAACATTATGCCATTTTACCGAAACCAATTTTCAAAGAAACTGCTAACATGATTAACATTATTCTTGCCGATTTAGTCAAAACTAGTTATCTCAAACAGAAACAATATGACTATCTGTCTGCCAAACCTGATTGTCGCGAGAGACATTTGTACACTTTGCCTAAAATCCATAAGAATCCAACCAAGGAGTGGTTTATCTCGAATAAAATCCCTAAAGGCCGCCCGATTATATCTGACTGTGGTAGTGAGTCATATGCAGTGTCAGAATACATTGATCATTTCTTACTACCTCTAGCATGTCAACATCGCGCCTACCTTAAAGACACAACCGATTTTGTCAATAAAATAAAAAATCTTCGAGTTCCCTCTAATGCTATTTTAATTTCTATCGACGTTTCTTCTATGTATACCAATATCAATAACACTACTGGTTTAACGGCAGTTCGTAAAGCTTTTAATAGAAACCCAGATCCAAACAGACCTGACGATGCAATTCTACAGCTTTTAGAGATTTGTCTTGGTCGAAACGATTTCACATTTAATTGTAAAACATATTTACAAACTTCAGGGACAACAATGGGCAAACGATTCGCCCCTTCGTACGCAAACCTTTTCATGGCAGAGTGGGAACGTGAGGTGTTGCCCCTCTGTCCATTTGACCCACTTTTTTACGGACGCTTTTTGGATGACGTTTTTATGGTTGGGACTTATTCTATCGAACAGTTATGGGAATTCTTTGAAATTCTCAACAACCACCATCCTTCTATCAAACTAACCGCAAACGTGAGTGACAAAAGCATAGACTTTCTCGATACCACAGTCTTTAAGGGAGATTCCATAGCAGAAACAAATAAACTGGATATTAAAGTGTATTTCAAAGAAACTGATACTCATCCACTCTTGCACAAGAGCTCCTTTCACCCAAAACATACCTTTTCTGGTATAATTAAGTCACAAGTTTTACGATTTCATCGAATTTGTACAAGATCTTCTGATTTCAACCAAGCCTGTACGATTGTTTTCTCAAAACTGAAAAAGCGTGGGTTCTCTAAACGATTTTTACGAAACATAAAAAATTCCACCTTAGCACAGATAGCAGCTGAAACAGACTTTATGCCGAAGTACCTCCAGGTTTAAGAAGTGCTCCATGTTTGTCAGGTAGATGCAAAACATGTCCCTTTATATCAGAAACTCATTATTTTGTAAGCAACTCTACGAATAAAAGGTACCCGATCCAGGAACATCTAACATGCAAACATTCGAATGTAATATATTTAATTTCAAGCAAGAAATGCCCCAAGCAATATGTAGGAGAAACTAAGAATAATTTACGAAATCGCTTTAATGCTCATAGGTCAGACATCAAATTAAAGAAAGACAAGCCTGTTTCTAATCATTTTAACCTCGACGACCATTCAATAGACGATCTCGCCCTAATCCCAATTGAGCGTATAGAAATTGACTTGCCCGAAGATGAAACTACCAAATTCCGTCAATCTAGGGAAGCCCATTGGATTGAGACATTGAATACAGCAAGACCTATAGGACTAAATATTCATCATAATGTAAGCATAGCACCCTTTGTTGTCCCGTTTAATACAACCAGCAATCGAGCAAGCAAGATTGTTCATGCCCACTATAAGAGCCTTCCTGAGAAATTCCCCCATGTCTATAAGCAAAAAATGATAGTTGCATATTCAAAAAATAAAAACTTAAATGATAATATTGTTCATAGTAAACTAAAAACAATCAGTACATAACAGATACTATACTTCTCGCCCATTGGGCGAGTTATTTTTTCTAATTTCAGATCAGAATAAGAACAGAAGAAAACCCAATATCAAAACCCTTAATCCTAATTTCTAAATAAAGTGTCTGCTCCACCCTAGGCCTGTACATTTGGGAGAATCAAACCCTCCCTTCGCCGAAATCTAAATCTATAGCAAATGTAAAAGCAACATACAGTGCAATACTTATTTCTATGTTAATATATTCCAACACAGCACTACTATCCAGTTTTAGGAAATTGAAAAGAAGAAATACTACAGAAAAATATGTACTCAAATTCTTTAAGGGATTTCCAAAGCTATTGGATTTTTCTACAAAATGTTTATTTTTCTTGCAATTCCACTAAAACTAACATTTTTTGTCACTATTTGTCACTAAGGCCCTTAGATAGATATAGTTTACAGCTTTTGCTTTCTGACTGAAAAATGGAACTGTGTAAATCAATGCCATCAGTGTCCCTGATGCAAAAAGATCAGAAAAGCTAGGTTCTACTGCAGTGCAGCATAACTATTAATTTAAAAATTAAACGAGACTTACCTGTAAGGTGAAGTTTGATTATAATTCTGCTTTGTTGTTGACTGGGTCAGAGATTCACAATAATAAACACAAACATGTACTCTTAACATATCATTTATATCTTTAAGTATTTAAACACAAATATATTTAAATAAAAGCTAACAATTTGAGTCTATTATCTTGAGACTATAAATACCTTTATTGGATAGAGGTTTTTTATAATATTTTCTAAAAGTAGAATCCTTAGACCAACCCGCAGTTTTAAGTATAGATTTTATTGGAACACTTGCTCTATGAGCTGCACTAGTTGATGCTGACCTAGTACTATATGGAACAAACTTATTCACATCAATTCCTGCAGATGATAAGACAGTCTTAATCCATCGAGAAATAGTATCTTTGCTGACAGATGTATATGGTTTGACAAAACTCGAAAATAACTGATTTGAAGAACGAATATCTTTTGTTCTATTAATATACGCCTCAAGAACTGTAATAATACACAATCTCCTATCTGGAACAAAGCCTCTAATAGTTATTGGTTCTTGGTGAAATCCAGGACGAGTCTGCTTTAATTTTTCTATTACAAACTGAACTGAAGATTTGGTGACATGGATTTTCCTTATATTCAAACACTGTAAAGTCTGAATACGACTTCCTGACAATAATGCAAATAACATAACTAACTTAAAAGTTAACAGTTTCAACGATATTTTCTTCACGGGTGATAGCTTTTTTAAATATGAAAGCACAAAATTAATATCCCATGAGAGATTATTTCTCGGTAAAGCTGGTCTAATGTTGAATACACCTTTAAGAAATCGAATGACAATTGGATTCGAACCTACAGGCTTATTGTTTATAGTTAAAAAAGATGATAACGCACTACGAGCTGAGTTTATACCACTATATTGTAATCCAGAATTAAATAAAACGGTAAGGTATTCAATGACAGTCTCTGAACCACTTGTTGATATAAACTCGGTATTGTGACAAAGTTGATTTTCGCCAAGATGATTGTAGTATGGTTTTAGCTTGTTCAGAAAAACTGTACTCTGTGAAGAAGATCCCGTTATCTTTACTGCCAATAGACACATCTTTGGTAAGTCTGTTTTTGGATCTTTTGATGGGTGACTTAGGCTGGTCTCTACCCTAGGTAAGATAAGAGGAAAATCAATAAGCATACGAATCATTTTGCTGAACCAAGTTTGTGTGCTCCACCAACGGACAATCAGTATGCCAGTGGCAACATCCAACTCTCAGCACATGTCCTATTATTGCAAAAGGAGGAAATGCATAAAATTCAAACCCCCCCCAACTAACAGAAAAGGCATCGATCTTTTCTGCATAAGGATCTGGTTTGAAGGAAAAATATCGGGGTAAATGTGTATTTTCCTGAGTAGCAAATAGATCCACTACTGGTTTACCCCAATTAGAACAAATTCTATCAAAAACTCTGCAGTTTAATTTCCATTCTAAATTATCCTTACTTTGATCATATCTACTTAATTGATCAGCCTGTACATTGAAAATGCCAGGTAAGTGAGTGGCTGAAACTTCAATGTTTCTTTCAATGCAAAAGAGGAAAATCTCTCTGACGATATTATTTAAACTGGTAACTCTGCCACCTTGATCGTTTAAATAATCTACAGTTGTGGTATTGTCAGCTTGTAGCAATATGCTAGCATTCCTAATGTCCTTACAAAAAGAAAAAACTGCAAACTTTGCAGCTAGCAATTCTAATTCGTTAATATGCTTTTTAGTTTCTTCCAATTTCAAAGTACCTCTGGCCTGTTTATCATAGAAAACTGTCCCCATCCTTTTAAAGAAGCATCTGACTGAATAACAAAATCAGGATTCTTTAAAATAAGTGACTTTTCTTGGTTTTGGATATTGTTTATCCGCCATTTTAAGTCATAAATACAGTGTGGAGGTAGTTTCATTTTTGCATCAAAATTTCCAAATTGTAATTTCAAGGATAATGACTTGAAGTTGTCACACTTTTCCATGAAGTACACCAGGAAATGATGCTACAAGTAAACCAATAACTCTAGCAAATTCTCTGATTGTCACCCTCTCCTGTTTCAGTAAATGAGAGCATGCATCCTGTATTTTAGATGCTTTTTCTTTAACATTTTCTTGACAATCTTCCTTACTGTCCCCTATTAGTAGGCTATCATCAATAAATGATGAATTCAAAAATCCTTTTAATCTTAAAACTGAAAATAGCACTTTAGTTAATTTTGTAAACAATCTAGGCCCTGAAGACAGCCTATTAGGTAAGCAGGTAAACTGAAATAACCTATCCTTCCAAATGAATCTTAAATATTTTCGATCACTTTTTGCTATATTTTCTGAGAAATATGCTTCCTTATAATCAATAGATGCCATATAGCAATCTTTTGAGATAATATTCAAAGCACTCTGAAGAGTTTCCATTTTAAAATGTCTTCATTTAGATCTTTCAAATCTAATATGATTCTCAATCTACCATCTTTTTTATCACGAGTGAATATATTAGAGATATATTCTCCTTCCTCATGGTTACACTCTTCAATGATGCCTTTTTCTAAATATTTTGAAATCTCAAGAGTAATTGCAGCAATTTTTTCACCCCCAAATTTATAAGGTGGTTCCACTATTAGCTGCTCAGGTAGAGAGTCAAATTAGTTTAGGTAAATTAATTTTTAAAATATCAGTAAAGTTAGGCCAAGATTCAGACTTACTTATAATTTCACTCACCAAGTCCTCATCAGTATTATCTACTTCTTGGTTTGAGTATGATTCTTTTCCCTGATGGGTTTCCATGGTTTCTGTCTTGTTTGGCCAGATTTCTTGAAACTTTGGGACAAAAATCCCTTGCCTTTATTTGCATTGGATTGCTTAGAACTTCCTTTAAAACTATTGTAAGGATTTCTGTTTGGAGTATAGGTAGATTGTTGTGTAACACACTGGCTTCTTTTAAGTCCTTTATAGTCTTCATCAAATCTTCTCAAAACAAGAGTTTAGAACAATCCCACTCTCCAGTTGAAGAGGGATTACACAATAGCTTTGCAGGATGAGATAAATCAGACCTCATACTATCCTTTCTTTGCTGGACAAATTCTCTGTTTGCCTGAGCTAGTAGAGTTATTGCGTCCCATTCTAATAGCTTTTGAGATGTCCTCAGGAGAAATCTTTGCCTTCCTCTTTAGAAAACTCATCAATTCCGCAAGAGAATAAGAAGATTTAGTGATTTTCATATGAATTCTCTGGTTTCTGAGATCAGCAGTTTTCGTGGTACTTCTTATAGCACCCCAAATTTCTTTATTTACCAATGGCATGACCACATTCATATTTGCAGGTTTGGGGTACCTGTCAAAAATCACCTTGAGCTTTTCTTCTGGCAGTACTTTAACGAATAACTGATTTACGATGCCAATTATTTTGTCATTGACTTTTACTCCTTCCACGTTTTTAATCGTGTATTCCTGTTCTAAGGCAGATTCGAACATTTCCATGTCCTGATCAAGATCGGTGTCATTATTTGAGTTATCTCCCATGATAGGGTCGTGTGCTAATAGTTAATCAATTTGATCTAAAACATCATTGTCATTATTTACCGTACCGGTAATATGTCTAGGTATCTGAGTTGAAGGGATAATATCTTCTTCCTCCCAATCAGAATCAGAAATCACATGTTCAAGCTTACGTTTCCTTGTAAAGTTATCATAGTCATCTGATTTCTCGGCAGTTTGTTTACTTCCATAAGGTAGACCAATTTTTGACTGTCGTGAAAATTCCGAATCCTTTTGAAAATTTTCTGTTATGAAATTCTTTAATTCCTTCAAACTCTGTTTTTGAAATACACACATTTCAGAACGAATAGTTTCCAAAACAATTTTGGAACTTTCGTTGTTTGAATCGGTGATTCTTTGTGGAGATTCGTCCGACAAACCAACTGTGTTACTATTTTTAGAGTTGATAACCGATGGCTGTGGTGGAGTAGTAGCTGCGCGCGCATCTCATCAGACCTTTAACCCTTTGTCAATCAACAAAGCAGAACTTACATTTCATTTTCACTCCAAAATTTGACCTCCACTTTCACCTCCTACCAACCATTCTACAACCAACCCAGGCCACATGACACCCATATCGAATTTTACCCAAACAATCTATAAATCAAGATAAAATAGATTTTAATCCAGTTTAGAGTCGCCCTTGCTGTGACGTCAATCAATTACAGTTCTGGGAAAGTATTAGAGAGTAAAATGAGTTTTTCATGTCTTTCACAGCTCATATTTTCTCTTTGCAATTGTGTGCTTAAAAAATCTCAAACACATTATATCTGAGGACTATTTAAAAATTTGTAATTTTGGCTTTAGTGCTCATTTTGTACCCATTGTGAGAATTTCAAAGTGAGGACCCGTGTGCAAGACCTCACTTTGCAAAATGTCCTCGGAACGTTGGTGTTCTTCCTATATCGAATCCTCTTCATGCTACCAATACAAACGCATACATACCAAGTTTGGTGAAATTCGGATAAGAAATAAGAAAGTTGGTAATGCGCATGCGCACAACACAAATTCAGTATTTCCATCAAATTTAGAATTGGATTATACACATACATACTAAGTTTGGTGAAATTCGGATAAGAATTAAGAAAGTTTGCAATGCGCATGCGCACAAAAAAAATTCAATATTTCCATCAAATTTAGAATTTGATTATTCACATACATACCAAGTTTGATGAAAATCGGATAAGAAATAAGAAAGTTGGCAATGCGCATGCGCACTACGCAAATTCGATATATCCATCAATTTAGAATTTGATTATACACATACATACCAAGTTTGATGAAAATCGGATGATGAATAAGAAAGATGGCAATGCGCATGCGCACTACGCAAATTCGATAATTCCATCAAATTTAGAATTTGATTATTCACATACATACCAAGTTTGATAAAAAAAAAAAGTTTTATTGAAGAACAATTACTTAATGTAGTAGATAAATTCAATTACAACCTTAAGTTCATTAATATCTAATTTAGATGATAAGATTACAAAAAAAAAGTAGATCTTAAACAACTAATAGCCAATATTAATCCAGGTATAAGTGAAGATAAATTAACAACATTAGAAACTAAACTTATTGATAATAGTGAAATACAAAAACAAATAGTTGGTATTAAACAACAATTACTTAATGTAGTAGATAAAACTCAATTAGAAAATTTAAAATCATTAATATCTAAATTACATGATAAGATAACAAAACAAAAAATAGATCTTAAACAGCTAATAGATAATATTATTCCAGGCATGAATGAAGATGAATTAGCCGCATTAGAAACCAAACTCAATGATAATAGTGAAATAGTCGCCATTCAACAACAATTAGACAATCTAGTAGATAAAACTCAGAAAGTTTAAGTTCATTATCATCTAATTTAGATGATTAGGTTACAAAACAAAAAATAGACCTTAAACAACTAATAGATAATATTAAACCAGGTATAAGTGAAGATAAATGGCAGCAGGAATCAACTGCTCTAGAAACTAAATTTAAAACTGAATTACAAAAAGAAGTAACAAATATTAAACAACAGATAGAAAATATTGATAATAGTGAGCCGATAACTACTATTAATAATGAAGTTTTAAAACAGGAAAAATATAACCACATTAGAAAACAAACTCAAGGGAAATAAAAAAATCATATTAATTCAATCTTCCATTTAAAAATATTGGTAGAAAACATGTTTCTATTACTGATAATATTGATAAAACAAAAGAATATGAATATAAATTTACAGCAACCGTTAAAGGATATCCTGTTCAAGATTTTATGTACCCTCAAACTATTTTTAAGGAAGATTATGTATTATATTTTATTTTCCGAGGAAAACTTCAAATTGAAATTAATTTTCCTTTGCAGGTAAAAGTTGATTCAATATTCTTCGCACAAAAATCAGATTCATCTAATCAATTTAACGCTCGTAAAGTTCTTCAGTTTATCAATGGTAGAGAAAATGTAGAAACTAAAGAATTAACGATGAAAACACCAAGGTTTATTACTTATATAAAATTAAAACAAATGGAAAATATATAGATAGGTTTAGAATGTTAATCAAACCAGATAAAGAAGATGAAGTATTTAGATTGGGTGAATTTGATATGATATTGGAAACAGAAACTCCTCCAACCATAAATATTATTAGAAATCCAGAACCACAAAATAAAGGGGAAACAAGGAGTTATGAGTATTTACGAACATCAACAGACTTTGAATATGTAAAACTATATTTTGTTAATACTGATTTATTTACCCCAATTGATATTCATAAAAGTCAACAAGATAAAAAATTTATAATATTTTCATCAATAATTAAAAGTGAAAAAGGGACTGGCATATATTCTTTTTCATGTAGAAGAACAAACATCTATAGTATCTGTAGAAGTTACTATTCTTAAACCTATGATAATTTTTCCTAGCGGAGAGTTTGAGATTGAGATGAATTATCCAACTTTTAAGTTATCAGAAATTCACTTAATTTAATGTCTTAAAAATGGAACTCGAAAGTAGACAACAATATATGACAAACAAACAAAACGAGTTAAAAGTAAAACTAGAACAATATAATAAATGTAAGAAAAGATGGATTAGAGTTGATTCTGTTTTCAAAACACTGAGTGTAGTTCTAACAGTAGGAACAACAGTTGCAACGGCCGTAACTGGTGGATTAAGTGTTCCAGTACTTGTCCCAACTGTATTAGCCACAATTACTGCTATTCAAACTTCATCTTGTGGGTTGATTGCTATAGGTTATACATCAAAACAAAAATCTCATTATAAAAAGAAAACAGAAATTTTAAATTCATATCTTAAAAAATTATTTATTTTTTTCGAAAGATCAAGAGAAGATAAGAACATAACCATTGAAGAATTCAATGAAATTCTAGAAAAATATGAGATGGAAATATCAGCAATAAAAGTAAAAAAAATACTTAAAAATAGATCATTAAAAAAGCATATATAAAAAATATGAATGAATCAATTGAGATTAATGATGATGAAACATTCATAGAAAACGTGTTATTTTCAAATATTATCAAGGCTGTTTCCAATAAATTTTTAACATTTAAAGGACAAATTGAAATAGATGGAGAGATATTTCAAGATGGAAAGCACGAACAATTTATGAAACTTCTTGATTTTAATGCCTAAACCTTTCATACTATCTTTAGAAATATGTTAGAAAAAATCTGACCCTTCTGATTGGTACTTTACAGGAAGTATCTTTTTACTTAAAGACAATTTTAAAGAAATTAAAAGATCAAAAGTTGGAAGAGGAACTGAACTACTCAACAAAATAAATGAATATATAGGTGAAAATTGTTACATACCAACCGATGGTAACTGTTATATCAAATGTGTAAATTATGTTTTAAACAAAGATTTAACAAATGAATTTCAAAATTTCATCAATGGTTTCTCAAAAGCAAATAGAAAAGGAGTGATGACATCTGCTAGAATTAATGAATTCAATAAGAAATGTGATATTTCATTTCAGATTTATACTCATAACAATAGAAATTTGCGCCCCACAATTGTAAAAGAGGAATTAGATTTCTGTCTTATAAGAAGAAATAAAAAAGTTTGGGTATTAAAGAAGATAATTATGAACAAGTATGGAAAACGTGTAGAGACGATAACGCAGTAACACAGGTTTCACCTCTGAAACTGAACGTGTTTTCAAGTATAAGTGATGCATTGTTATTTGCTTGGGATTGTGAAACATATTCAGAAAGTGAAACGCGTATAGCAATTCCGTATGCATGTACGTTACTTAATTTAGAAAAACTAAGAAATATGTTAGACAGAATAAATAATCTCTTTCCAGATTTAAATCCTACAGATAATGTTCCAGAAGAATTTTATGATAAACTAATGAATATAGTAGAAATATTTGTACAGATTGTTTATATCAAATGTTGAAATATTTAGGTCAATATGATAGACAGTGATTAATATTAATTTCTCATAACGGCAGTAATTTTGATAACTGGATCGTGCTTAAAAATATAAAAAAAAAATTGACACAATGCCCTTTAAAAAACCCCAGAGGAATTCTATCTTCACCATTATCTAATCCATACACAGATGAAGATTTACAGAAAGAAATGGAAAAGACAGAAAGAAATAACAAGTAATGATAATTATTTACAACATATTAATTTCACATGTTCCTATCAACATGAAACATCTATTTTAGCGGCATGGGGTAATTCATCTAATCTACCAATGAATTTGAGAAAGATCACTGATATCAATGTTGCAAAATAAGATAAGATAACTGGGAATCTTTAAGACACGAATGGGAACCATATGCAAAAAGAGATACGTTATGTCTTGGAAATTGTTTGATAAAATATAACCAAGTCACGAAAGAAGTTGTAAACCAAAATATGTCCAATAACCTAACGGCTCCATCTTTATCTTTTAAGGGTTGGTATTATTTGTATCATTACGATAAAGAAATGGTTGAAGAAGAATGGTATGAAACTACTAGAATGGTTCCGAAACATACTGAAAAAGAAAATATAGAAAAAGTTTATTCACACACTAATCCTTTTATCAAGACATTATATCAGACGATCTATTAAAGGAGGAAGAGTTTCGGCAAATAGAAAAAATATTGAAACGAACAAAAAAGATGAAATTCGTAATGTATTAAAGGAAGTTATTTCACAAAGTGAAACACGAAGTGATACGGAAAGTATTTCACAAAGTGAAACACGAAGTGATACGGAAGTATTTCACAAAGTGAAACACGAAGTGATAATTCAAGAAGAGATAACATAATTGATTTATTCAAAGAATACAGCGCGAGCACAAAAGATAAAACAGAGGTTAATTCAAAACTTAAAAAAATAAAATGTACTAAAAATGGCATTTGATGCTAATGGTTTGTCAAATTTAGACAGTGAATATCCAAAAGCAGAAAGTGCTAGACCGTTTCTAAAACTCTTCAATGAACAGAAATTTAGACCTAGAACAGCTATTTTAACAGTGTAGTTTGACTATCCCAATATAGATAACATAATTGATTTATTCAAAGAATACAGCGCGAGCACAAAAGATAAAACAGAGGTTAATTCAAAACTTAAAAAAATAAAATGTACTAAAAATGGCATTTGATGCTAATGGTTTGTCAAATTTAGACAGTGAATATCCAAAAGCAGAAAGTGCTAGACCGTTTCTAAAACTCTTCAATGAACAGAAATGTAGACCTAGAACAGCTATTTTAACAGTGTAGTTTGACTATCCCAAAAACATGTTCTTCCAACCGATACCAGCTAAAGATAATATCACTTTCACGAATAAAGAGGGAAAAAGGGAAACTGGCAGTAAAATCACGTTTAGAAATGGTTTCTGTTCAGATGTTTTAACATCGGTCGATATTCAAGAAATAGTTAAAGCCGGTGGACGAATTATTAGAATATTAGATGGTATAGTATACGAAGAAAATTTAAACTCCACCATATATAGATTATATTTTAATTTTAAGAGATCTTAGAAATAAATATAAACGAGAAGGTAATATTGTGGGTAGTAATTGCGTGAAATTATTAGGCAATTCCTTGTATGGTAAATCTATTCAGAAGGATAGAAACACGAGAAATCATTTGTGGAACGAAGTAACTTTTCAGACTAACTATGAAAAAATTAATGATACTCAATATTTAGTAGAGACAGAAATTGAAGAAAAAGAGATTACTGCTGAAGATCACTCAACTAAATCTACAGGAGTAACACCTAGTCATTTGGGATCATTCGTTTTATCTCACAGTAAAAAAATAATGAATAATTTCATTCATGTAATAAATGGATTTTATCAACCTGAAATATACTATACCGATACTGATAGTTTATACATTTCATCTAGAAATTGGGATAAATTAAATCGAGCTGGGTTGGTATCTGAAAATGAATATTGTAAAGGCAAGAATGATTACGGTGATGGTGGAATCATATTTGGTTTATATTTAGCGCCAAAAGTCAAATATAATATCATTCTAACTTTTGATGGTGTTTTAAAAGAAAAGAAAACGTTTAAGGGTTATTCTAATAATAAGACAAGTATAGAAGATTATATTCAGTTGGCTAGTGGACATGATGTGTCGAATGAATTTAATAAAAGATGGGAAAGGAGTTTCACGAATGGAGTAGCTATTCCAAAGGATGATGATAAACAAAAGAAAGGTTTTAGAAGTTATTTGAATCTTGTAAAGAGAAAACCACCAAACAGTGAAGGAATTATGTTTCCTTATAGTGATAAAGATGAGTATAGTTTTGATGAAAACTATGAATTTGATGATTTCGATTACATATATATTTAAGAAGAGAATAAAGAGTGATTAATTACTCAATAATTTTTGTTTTAAATGAAGTTGAATAACAATTTCCTCGTTACCAAAATCAATAAACCTATTTTTACCATCTTTGATTTCCAGATTTATATTTTTAATCATGAACAAATTAAGTGGTAAATATGTTGTTTGAAATGGTTTCTCTATAATTCTATATCCAATCGGTACAGTGAATGTTGGAATACTGTAAATAATCTGACGTTTTTGTTTATTGAAAAATCCACCGTTTATTAAATTACAGTGAATATTAATGACGTCGATATCATTCTCGATATTAGCTTTATGCGGCGCTAAATTGGATTTGGTGTATATTTGCTTATCAAATCCTAATAAAGTATTCAAAGAATTTTCTACGTTGAAATCAACTTGACTCTTATTTCTCAATATCAATTTTATTTTGTTCAGATTCAAATTACCTTCGAATTCAACATTGTTTTTACCATTTGCACTTTCCCAATATTCAGATAGATATTCGTTTATGGCTACGTATTCATAGCTTCCTGGTAGTAAACTTATCGTTTTGAATGTAGCTCCGTTATCTGTTGATATTTTCATTTGGTTATTATTTTCGTTGCTATTTCTAATGGAATTGTAAACAGAGAAATATTTTAATCCCAATTCATATTCTTCATTGCGAAGCAAGGCTTCATTGTTGTCGGATAAAAACGTTATACCTTGTCCACTGTTTTCTCTAGCTATCTCATCTCCAATTCGTCTATTTCTTGTATGATTGAATTGTCGTCAGCATAATCACCTACTTCGTCATCTTCAGCATAATCATCATCTTGATTAATAGCTTTTATATATAGATCAGATCTTTTAATCTACTTGTTTCGGGTCCCGTCTTTCTTATCGTATGTAGAAATTCTGAGTATTCTACTAAATCCTTGTAATCGGCAATATCAACATCCCCCCCCCCCCCCCCCCCATTCATTAAATCTATTAATCCTTCTGTTAATGTAAATATCAAGAGTTTTGTATCGATTTTGAATATTGGTGAATTTCCACTAAATCTTATTCTAAATCCATTAAACAATAACCCTTCGTTATCAACAATTGGTGTAATGCTCTTCGGTAAATCTGGGTTTGGATTTGAAAAATAATGTTTTATATCATCTAATGTCCTAATTATAAAACCACCGTATTCAATCGGTTTTGGGGGATCTTTATGGGGTGAAGGTTCTATGGGAGGCGCGAGTCTCTTTTTAATGTCTTCTTGACTTTTTAATATTGGTTGAAATAGAGTTTGTAGATTTTCTGTTAATCCAAGTTGTTGTAGTCTGTTATTTTTAATTTGGGTCTTTATTTTATTCTTAGCTTTGATATATTGTTTATTTCTTTTTATAATATTATTCCAATCACCCATTTTTAAAGAAATGAAATTAACATATATCCGTCATAACTCTTTCACCTGCAGGTTTTTTAGTATTAACGAATATATATCAATGATCATCTGGGTTTCTCCATTGTGCTTTACAATCCTTTTGGAATGTATCTCTATCCATTCCGTGATTAATTGACTGAATAATTCGAGATAAATCTTTGTCGTTCATAAAAAACAATTTGCATTTTTTCTAATGAACATTGCATCCATACCGTAGAAAGATTGGGATTGGTATATGCAGTGACAGTTGTGATGTCTTCCCTTCGTGAAGAATTCTTGTTGAACAGCTTGATTTATTTGTGCTACACAGTCGTCAAACACTATTAAGTTCTTTCGCTCACTATTAATTTTAGACAAATATAAATCATTAACATTTTTCGTAAGAAAAACTTTTATATCCGTTGGATTCTTTTCTTTCATATATGTATCTAAGATATCTTTTATTTCTATCTCATCGTTGTCTTCATAATATTTAAATATGTCTTGAACGTCTTTCTTTGGTATATAGTCTAAAGCTTTTAGGAATTGATAATACGATTGCTCTGGTGTTGTTGTGTAGATATATAATGAATCGAAATCTAAAAGTTTTGGTGTTGTCAACATGTTAAAGGTCAAATAAGTTTTCCCAGAACCTGAGCTACCGCATATATACATGAGCATTGGGTTACTAGGAAATATTTCTGAATGATTAAATTTCTTTCCCATTTTTTATTCTATATTTTTGTTCCAAAAATCACTCCTTCTCCTTTATACTTTGAAAGAAAGATTCCCTCTGCAGATTGTTTGTTTTTAAAAACTATGGCATTACCCTTATGTTTGACCTTCATTTCTCCTGTGTCTAATCTATTAGATTACATAATCCCTCTTGAACAGTTTACTTGGTTTCTTCACTAAAACGATTTCTAAATTCTTTAACTGTCCCTAATATATCTGCTACTACCGAACCTTGTGCTATCTTTTCCATTTCCATATTATGTCTACGTTTTTCACTTTTTTCAGCATCAGCTGCTTTCTTGGCGTTGATAGCTTGTTTTAATCCTTTTACCATTGTAAGTTATTGTAGTTGGTGATTCCGTTTCGATAGCTTCTATTATTCTTTTTACTAAAGTTTCTGGTTTCATTTTTAAGAGGGTAATTTAAATGATTATTCTACACAAATCATCCGTATGTCGGATATTTTAATTAAATGTTTTGCTTCTTCTAATAATACACAATAACCTGTTACATTTCCTTGTGTTTTTTCAATATAAATATGTATTCACCCCTGTTTTGAAAAGATCTTCTTGATGAGCTGATAGATCAAAACAGAAGATTGGGTGATTAATTGCAAAATCTACATATTCAAACTGAGGTGAATTTCCAAATAATTCACACATATTTATATAGTTTCTATACAATTCATTATAATCCTTCGTGGTTGGATTAATTGTTAAAGGTTGGTTAGGATAATTATCGTTGTTTAATCTTACTTGAACTTTACGGATTATAATGTTAATAGTGTTAGTGATTGGCCATGTTGTGGATTCTCCAGTTAAAGTTATGCTACCTATTGTGTTACGACGAAGAAAAGCTATTTCAATATCTTTAGTTAATGAGTTGAATATTCTCGTTTCTACTTCAATTGATGGTGTTATTACGGGTATGTAAAGTTGAAGATTAGTTATTTCTAATTTTGCATCTGAAGCATTCTCTCCAAAGAATATCTTATCATCATTAATTTCTCTTTGTAGATGAATTTTATATGGTAGCCCTATGGAAACTTTTCTGTGTTCCAACAGAGCAAATAATGGATATACTTTCCAATTTACCTATTCTCAACAGCATTATTATACTGAAGTACTCGTTTTTCAAATCCGTGATTACCTGCTCGTCCTACTCTTTCTATAGTGTTTCGAGCAATAGCTCTCATTCTATCTTCTAAAGTTGAAGATTTGTTATTTCTAATTTTGCATCTGAAGCATTCTCTCCAAAGAATATCTTATCATCATTGATTTCTCTTTGTAGATGAATTTTATATGGTAACCCTGTGGAAACTTTTCTGTGTTCCAACAGAGCAAATAATGGATATACTTTCCAATTTACCTATTCTCAACAGCATTATTATACTGAAGTACTCGTTTTTCAAATCCGTGATTACCTGCTCGTCCTACTCTTTCTATAGTGTTTCGAGCAATAGCTCTCATTCTATCTTCATTTGCATCATTTGGAACATTTTTCATACCTGTTCTTTTAAAACTCTCTATCACCAACATCGGGTATCCAGCCTGAGACGGAATCGTAGTTTTTGGGATATAGAACTGTTTTCAACATTGTGTCAAATTCCCCAGGGTGGTTTCTATGGGATTTGTACCAGCTTCCAAAACCATTTCAGTAAATAAAGATGGAAAGAAAGTGTTTTCTAACATTGTGTTGGTTTGTGGTACACGATTCTCATTGGGAGTTCCGTCTCTGATTTTGAAATCGCATCTGAAATAGGCATCAGACAGAAGCAACCAATTCGATAATGAATTAATCTCGAAAGGGACCCTACCCCCATCATTGAGTTGAGACCTAGAGCCAACGGTTGGTGATATGATAATGTAATCCTCTTTTTTCTTATTAAACGAATAACGAATTGGATCATATAATTGAAAGATCGGATCTAATCTGTAATTTTTTTCTGCTTTTTTTAAAGATAGGTTTTACCCTATTATTTGAAACCATTTACCCCCACGGAAATGCAGGAAGAATAACAAAAACCCAAGTAAGTTTTATTAAATACAAGGAAATTTAAAACATAAAAAAATACATGTATATTGATATACACTTCTACTAGATATACTTCAAAGTCATAGTACAAGGGTTAAGGGGTTACGACCGCTCCTGTAGAATCGCTAGATATACTTCAGAGTTATCTCCCCCCTTACACTATTACCAGTCATAGTTCAAGGGTCAAGGGGTTACGACCACTCCTGTAGAATCGCTAGATATACTTCGGAGTTATCTCCCCTCATACACTATTGCCAGTCATAGTTCAAGGGACAATGGGGTTACGACCGCTCCTGTAGAATCGCTAGATATACGTCACATATTTTATCCTTTTCCAAAACGTTTGTTCTTCAGCACTTGTTCTATTTTAAACCTCGGATATTTGTCACAGAGTTTGGTAGTATCCCCCACTGCCTGCGATGGTTTAAATATTCTTCGTGATATGATACTTAGTGACGTATATCCAGTCAACAATAGTCTAGACGACTGATTGTTACCGGACGTTGAAGGTAATTATTAAATCAACAATACTCTAGAAAAACTAACCGTGTATAAACTGGTTGGTATTATCCTATATTTTCCTAACGTCAAAAAGTGATTTTTTTTTTAAATTATACAAAAGTGCCCCCTTTCTATATACTCTTATACTACTCTTTTGCCCGCAAGCCCACCAAACAAACAACCCCACCAGGCACCCAGTTAATAAATCCCTAAAGCCTTTAGGGGTACAAGTTTACCAACCCCCAAGAGCCCCAGGCCAATAATATCATTAAATTAACTCATTTAAGAACAAAATGAGTTTAATTTTAAAACACGAACAACAAAAATGCGAAGGAGACGGATTCTTCTCAGCTCTATCTCAGAACAAAAAATAGATCTTAAACAACTAATAGCCAATATTAATCCAGGTATAAGTGAAGATAAATTAACAACATTAGAAACTAAACTTATTGATAATAGTGAAATACAAAAACAAATAGTTGGTATTAAACAACAATTACTTAATGTAGTAGATAAAACTCAATTAGAGAATTTAAAACCATTAATATCTAAATTAGATGATAAGATAACAAAACAAAAAATAGACCTTAAACAACTAATAGATAATATTAAACCAGGTATAAGCTAAGACACGTGGCAACAGGAATCAACTGCTCTAGAAACTAAATTTAAAACTGAATTTAAAAAAAAGAGCTAACAAATATAAATCAACTGATACAAAATATTAATGATAGTGAGATTCAAGAACAGATAACTACTATTAATAACGGAGTTTTAAAACAGGAAAAAAATACAGCCACATTAGAAAAACATCTCAAGGAAAATAAAAAATCATATTATTTCAATCTTCCAGTTTTTCGTGTGAAAACAAGTGAAACAACATATCAGTTGGAAGGATATGGATTTATATTAAAAATAAAAGTATTTTTATATATAAGTGGAAACGTTAAAAACATATTTGATGATACAGGAAACTTTAATTTCCGAGGTAAATCTCTAATTAAAATTCTTTTCCTGTAAAAGTTAAAATCGATTCAATCTTCTTCTCTCATCCATCAACTATTTTAACGCTCGTAAGATTTTCGAATTTATCAAAGATGGTGAATATGTTGAAAATAAAGATTTGGAAGTTAATGATGAAAACAACAAGCCTAATCATATGTATGAAATTAAAACAAATGGAAAATATATAGACACCTTTAGATTGTCAATAATACCAGACAATGACAACGATATTCTTTCAATAGGTGATTTTGATATGATATTAAAGACGGAAAGCTCACCATCGATGAACATTATTAGAAATCCAACTCCACAAAAACGTTTTTAAGAACATTAGACTTTGAATATGTAAAACTATATTTTGTTAATACTAGTTTTTCACTCAATGTACAAAAATATTATCCTGATTTATTTACCTCAATTGATATTCACAAAAGTCAACAAGATAAAGAATTTATAATATTTTCATCAATAATTGAACGTCATGAAGGAGATAGTAATAAAGAAGTTGGTGGTATATATACTTGTAGATGTAGTATAGAGATTAATATTGAAAAAAAAAATTTACAGTTCATATAAATAAGATTAATGATTCGAAAGAAGAAATATCATTAGCATCTGTAAAAGTTACTATTTATTCACCCGAAGTAATGATAACAGATAAACGAAAAATAATAGGAGGAGGTATAGAGATTAAAGGGTTCCCTATTGTAAATTTTGAACAATATCCATCTTTTTCTTTATCAGAAATTCACTTAATTTTATGTCTTAAAAATGGAACTGGAAAGTAGACAACAATATATGATAGACAAACAAAACGAGTTAAAAGTAAAACTAGAACAGTATAATAAATGTAAGAAAATAATAATAATAATAATAATAATTTATTATAGGTATTAAGTCAGTAAGACTTTTACACCACAACATATATACAATACAGTCATCAAAAACAATTGAAGATCATTTCATAACATGAAAAACAAATTTGGATAAATTCCATAACAGATCTGTGGAATTACTTGACATGAGAGTAACAAACTTAATAATGGTCGGAAATTCATAATAGTATCTTGGTATATAAAGTTCTCTTAAAGAAGCATGTTTTGGGCAGATCAGAGTGAAATGATACTCATCATCCACCTCATTTCTAGTACAGTTGGAACATATTCTTGAGGATCTAATTAACTTTTTATATCTCCCAGTTTCAACACCTAGAGTGTGTGACGAACATCTTAATTTAGTAAGAGCTACTCGATATTTCGAGATAGTGACATATCGTAAGTAATCTTCAAAACAAAAAGAGTGTTTAAACAGGTTGTATTTGTCTAACTTAGATGAAGATAGTCGAGATGTATTCCAAGACTGTATATACTGATCCTTGATACGTTGGCTTAATATGTCGAGATATGGGATCTGAAAAAACTGGGCATACCAGATGTCAGAGCATCCTAGGTTATCCATAAGTTGTTTTACCTGAGCAGCCCAATTGCGGAACCTAGCACGAGGATTGATACTGCTATATAAATCAAAGTAAACGTGATAAAGGAGGCTACCTTGATCTGACAAGATGCGTATCCAATACTTCACAATATTTTGCAATCTGCGGATACGCAAAGGAAAACGACCTAACTCTCCATAAATTGCACTTGTCACTGTGGATTTTTTAACCTGCAGTAGTCGTTTGCAGAAACGTAAATGTAAGTTTTCTATGTCATTTGCCTTAAGGAAACCCCACACGGGGGCTGCGTAAGATAATATTGACTCTACGAAGCAATCGAAGAGCTTACACTGTTGTCTACAATCAAGGTTTACCCTATTAAGAACACAGTTTAATTGGTGAAGGCCTATATTACCCTTTTGAGCAAGACATTTCTGCAGGGAATCAAACTTTCCATTGGAGCTAAAAACAATTCCTAGATATGTGAATCTTGTGACACATTCTACAGGGATGTCGTTATATGTGAATTTATATTGATAAGGTTCTTGAGATCCCTTTTGGAATACTACAACCTTCGTTTCGCTTACATTAACGGAGAGATTCCATGTTTCACAGTATTGCTGGAGCCGTGACAGTTGGTTTTGTAAACCTTTTTCAGACTTTGATAACAAGACCGTGTCATCGGCATACATAAAGGATGACAAAACTATTTGTCCTATTGTAACCGGATCAATAACATGTTCACTTAAGAAATCACACAGGTCATTTACATACAAGAGAAAAAGCAATGGTGAGAGATTGTCGCCTTGTTTTACTCCACAATTTGAAGAGAAATATTTTGAGTATGCATTTTTTGATTTGACACATAACTGAACATTGTGATACATAGACTTGATACACATGATTAACTTTGGACTAAGTCCAATTTGGTGTAATTTGAGAAGAAGTAAGTTTCTGTCAACTTTATCAAAAGCCTTGGTAAAATCAATAAAGGCTACATATAATCTCTCACCATTTGATAATATTTTGAGATCAGAGCCTGTAAAATGAAAATACAGTCGACAGTGCTCTTGTTAGGCTGAAATCCAAACTGGAAGACAGATAACTTTTTGTTTTCAGTTAACCATGAGAACAACCTATCATTTACAACTATAGAAAACAATTTTCCAAGGGTGCACATTAATGTGATACCCCTATAATTATTAACATCCCTAGAGTCTCCCTTTTTTGGAACTGGTACTATGGCTCACTTTGACCAACCATTAGGATAAAATCCACTATTGAATATCGAACTAAAATAAGTGCAAAGAGACGGACAAAGGATATCAATATTAAACTTAATGACCTCAGGGGTTATTCCATCGACCCCAGGACTTTTGCCTGTTTTAAGTTTGAGGTTTGCTCGGCGTAATTCACTCTCAGAGAAAGGTGTGTCCAAATACTCAACATCATTGGATAGTGGGAGTTGAACTATCTGATTACTACTACATGTAGTTTGAAACAAAAGTTTGAAGTGATCATAGTATGCCTCAAGATCAGGAGCATTTCCGGATTGGTAACTGGGCTCATCCCTGAGGTCATTTATTGTTTTCCAGTATTGTTTAGGGTTTTTCTTAATCAAGCGTTTTAAAACGATTCCTTTATCTGTTTTAAACTTTTCTTTAGCTTCTCTTCGTACTCTATTATAACTAGTCCTCGAATGTACAAACCGGAGTCTATTAACATCAGTTTTATTTCGGTTGTATAGATTCCTATTAAATATGAAAGTGTTTTTAGAAATTGAGCAACTTGAGTTGAACCATTTGTTCTGTTTGGTACGGCATTTTCTTGACTTTGATTGTTTCTGTGTTAATCCTATAGCAGGAAAACAAACATTTAAAAGTGTTTCGCAGAAATTGTTATTAAGATCCTCGACATCATGGTGAGAATCAATGGGACCAAATGTAGACACAACATTTTCAATTTGTTCAATATTAACAAGTAATGTCTCATGTAAACAGGGTTGGCTAGCTAGAGTCCATTTTAATATTTTCTTAGTCGGTGAAATTACGTGTGAATTATGAGTGTCTTTAAGGTCATGGAAACTGCCAATGTATCCCTTAAGCTGTAAGGTGGTTGGTGCGTGATCAGAAAATTCCAAGAAAGGTTCGATTTTAAATGAACTGACAAGGTGTCTAGCATTGCTGTCTAAGATCACATAATCTATGACGCTTGAGCCGTTTGCAGTGCATCAAGTATAATCCCCTGGTTCAAATCGACCATTTAGGATGCATGTGTTAGTGTTCTTGCATAATTGTAATAATTTACGGCCAAATCCATTAATTACACTATCTTCACTATTTCTAGGCTCTAAGGGGTTATTGTTAACAAAATCATGGCGAGGGAACTGGTCATTAAGGAAATCAGGTTCAACCCCAGTTCGGCTGTGTAGATCCCCACACAAAATGAATGCTACACCACCATTGATATTCCAGGTGAGAATAGATAAATGATCCTCAACGTAGCCCTATTCCTTATAAGGTCGGTCATTTATAAATAGCCTATCATTGATTAATTTTACACGGTTACCTTTCTGTTTCTCGCGTTTTAAAATTGGCATTAGTTCTTTCCTTTTCTGCACTACTTCTCTTGGGTACTGCATTCAAACCATGCTCTCTCAAACCAGAACCCTCGCGCTTGACCTTTTCTCTATCGCTGCGACTTGCAAACCTAGCTACAATAGGTCTTGCCGATTTATCGACCTGTAAGCTGGTACTCTTGGGAAAAGTCATATTTTTGTCGACTTGATCCCGTCTGCGGCCCAAGCAGTGCGCCGATTCAATATCAACATCATTCAATTTCAGTTTAAGCTGGAGAAGGTTTTGAATCAAACCATTACAATCTTCATCTGGAAACTCTCTGATATTGTAAAACAGCAGGTTACTTTTCATATCACGATATTTCATGTCTGTCATCTCTTGTTTTAATAGCATATTGTTTCTTTCTGATTCAGCCAATTTATTTCTGAAAGTACCATTTTGAGATTTGATTGTTTCGACCGAGTCTGACTGAAACTGGAGAGTGTTTTCAATATGTGAGAACCTGGTTTCAATTTCCTTAATCCTGGCACTGTTAATAGTCACTTGAGCTTTTACTTCTGAGATGTCTTTTGCGATATTAGTAATTTTAGTTTCAATGTTATCAAGCTTTTTAAGGCGGTTTGATATATCAATTATAACTGAATCAAGGGGGTGATTTATCATGTTCAGCTGACTAGGGTATTGTGGATTAGGAGTGTGATATGGGTTTCTCAAGGACTGTATTCCGGCTAGCTGGGATGATGCAGATGGCGTACTCGTTGCTGGTAATTGAATGTTGAGACCTCTTTGGACCTCTGAGTAAGAAACGTTGATGGATTAGAGTTGATTCTGTTTTCAAAACACTGAGTGTACTTCTAACAGTAGGAACAACAGTTGCAACGGCTGTAACTGTTGGATTAATGGTTCCAGTACTTGTCCCAACTGTATTAGCCACAATTACTGCTATTCAAACTTCATCTTGTGGGTTGATTGCTATAGGTTATACATCAAAACAGACATCTTCTTATAAAAAGAAAACAAGAATTTTAGATACATATCTTAATAAATTATTTATATTTTTAGGAAGATCAAGAGAGGATAAGAACATAACAATAGAAGAATTGAAAAAATTCAATGAAATTCTAAAAAAATTTGAGATGGAAATATCAAAAATAAAAGTTAAAAAAAAATACTTAAAAATAGATCATTAAAAAAGCATATATAAAACAATATGAATGAATCAATTGAAATTAATGATGATGAAACATTCATAGAAAACGGGTTATTTTCAAATATTTCTGATAAATTTTTAACATTTAAAGGACAAATTGAAATAGATGGAGAAATATTGCAATCTTTAGAAATATGGAAGAAAAATCTGACCCTTCTGATTGGTATTTTACAGGAAGTATCTTTTTACTTAAAGACAATTTTAAAGAAATTAAAAGATCAAAAGTTGGAAGAGGAACTGAACTACTCAACAAAATAAATGAATATATAGGTGAAAATTGTTACATACCAACAGATGGTAACTGTTTTATCAAATGTGTAAATTATGTTTTAAACAAAGATTTAACAAATGAATTTCAAAATTTCATCAATGGTTTCTCAAAAGCAAATAGAAAAGGAGTGATGACATCTGCTAGAATTAATGAATTCAATAAGAAATTTAATATAACATTTCAAATTTATACTCATAATAATAGCAATTTGCGCCCCACAATTGTAAAAGAGGAATTAGATTGGGTTTCATATTTGCACTACTCACATTTCTGTCTTATAAGAAGAAATTAAAAAAGTTTGGGTACTAAAGAAATAGAAGATAATTATGAACAAGTATGGAAAACGTGTAGAGACGATGACGCAGCAACACAAATTCAAAAGATGTCGGACAAAGGAATCTATCTTCAAATTTGTGTTTTTGAGAGGAATTACTAGTGTATTCTATGTTGACCTGTATAGTCAACAATTACGTATTTACTTCCTTGTTGTGATACTCCAATTCACTACAGATTCATTATATCATTTTCATGATATTATTTGGAGTTCTAACAGATATAAAATTCTGTGTGAATTCCAATCTCATAATATTTGGAGTTCTAACAAATATAAAATTCTGTGTGAATTCCAAATTATTTAATCTCATCATATAATCATATCTGTAGTGCTAAAAATTGCATGTGCCCTTTGTTAATTCTCTGAGACTTTTGAATATACTTTTCGCTCTGAGAATTGACCTTAAAGTTGTATTGACAAAACACAAGAAAAATATGGCCTTGTTGACTTTATAGGTTTAATATTGACTTTCAGTCAATCATCTCATAAACATTAAATTTGGAGAGAGATTTCCAATGTTGGATCATTTTAAACTGCTGAATTTCTTTATCTGTAGTGATAAACTTTCATGCACCCTTTGTTAATTCTCTGAGACTTTCGAATATACTTTTCGCTCTGAGAATTAACCTTTTAGGGGAATACATGAAATTGAAGGTGTTGAATATCCCTTCTGTTTATTCTACAAGACTTTCGAATACTTTTCAATTAGTAGAATTACTACCAAAAAGGGAATACCTAATTGGAGGTGGTAATAGATGAATTAATCACAGAAAGAAAAAAATATGGTTTTGTTGACTTTATAGGTTAACATGGACACTCACTCAATCATCTTAGAAACATTTAATTTGGAGAAACAGTTCCAATGTTTGATCATTTTGAATTGTTGAATTTCTTTTTCAGTTGCTCCTATGATTCCCTTCTACAGAAAGAATAATTGATAGAAAAAAACATTCCATAGCCCTTATTCCATCAAAATAGCTTTCTTGTTTCAACATTATACATTATGTTTACAAAAATTAATTGTGGTCTGAAATATAGAAAAAATTTCTAAAGAAGAGTTACCTCGCTTTAATAAAAGGAAGGAAGTGTTGATAAAAAAAACCAGACCACATCTATCCAATAATTTTAAAACTATTGACTTTTTTTTATTTCGCATTTCTCTTATATGTTGTAATTCTTTCAACTGCATCGCTTATATTTACTCCTGAGAAATGAGGGATTTATTGTTTGAGACAAAGTTGGCTACTTTTGGGATAAGAGATGATAGAGCTGAGAAGAAACCATCTCCTTCGAATTTGTGTTGTTCGTGTTTTAAAATTAAACTCATTCTGTTTTTAAATGAGTTAATTTGAAGATATTATTGGGCTGGGGCGCTTATGGGGTTAGTAAACGTGTACCCCTATAGGCTCCGGGTTTATTAATCGCGTGCCTGGTGGGGTTGTTTGTTTGGTGGGCTTGCGGGCGCCGCAGGCAAAAGAGTAGTATAAGAGTATATAGATAGGGGGCGGTTTTTATAATTTATAAAAAAAATCGGTTTTTGACGTTATAACCCCTCAAAACTGGCGTAAGAGGCCTAAGTCTTGAAAACGCCTTAAATTTAACCAGAAGTAAACTAATCTTTCTCATACCTTTCAATTTAGGTCCAATAACATCCGTTTTATGTTTCATTAAAATCGGTTGAAAACTAAGAGAGTAATAGCATATTCAAGATTTTGGGCCAAGGGCAATAACTCTGCTACTAACGGTCGAAAATAGCTCAGATTCGAACTTGATCTTCATTTTATGAATATGTATACACATACCGAATTTCATTTGATTCCATCAAAAATCTAGTTTTTAGAGCGTTTACAAGCAAATGTTGACGGAAGGACGGACGGACGGACAGGGGTGCCGACAATATACGTCCACATAGAGAGCGGCGTATAAAAAACACCAATATTCTTATAGGGTTAAGGGTTAAGGTTAGGATTATGGCCTAGGGTGGAACAGATACTTTATTTAGAAATTTGGATTAAGGGTCCTGGTCCCCGTTTCACTCAGGTACGTAAGTATAAATATTTACGTAAGTATATATGTAGGTAAAATTTTTGTTTCACGCGACTTATCGTTAGATTTAGCGTTAGAAAATGGCTGCCAACATGTTTATAGTAGAAATTAATCGACGACTAATTAGAAGGGAGCGGGTATTCAGAGACCGAACCCAATGCAAAAATAATAGTCAATATGCGATTCAGAAAACATTGTATTGTAACATGTAAGCCAACCTTATTACGGTGGCTCTTGCTAGACAGTAGACTAGGAGAAAATAATTTTCACCAAGGTGATTCAAGAATCTTGAATTAAAATCTTTTTTCGCCGTTCTTTTAAAAGTTTCGTTGAATCATCACCTAGGTGGAAATTAAAGTTTTTAATTCAAAATTACAGGAATTATCACCTAATTTTCACCTGGGTGAAAATAATTATCACGTAAGTGAAAATTAATGTTTCTAATTCAAAATGAAATATGTCGTATGTGAGCCACTGTACATCCTAACTATATTAGCGTAAAATTCATAATCTCCGTAAAATATTATATAAATCCACTATCGGACTAACGCTCCAAAACAAAATTTATTTTTTATTTTTAGATGTTAGTTACACTTCGATATCTGGAAAAAAGGCAACTTTTTGTCTGAAGTCGCAGACATCCATGGCATTTCAAGGTCCCCTGCCAGTCGCTGTATTTTTGCTTGCACAAAGGCCATTAATGAAAGATTGTTGAAAAAAATATCACAAGAAGATGTTGCCACATCTTTGATTCCAATATTGGCACCAGTGATTTAATGAGCCTGATTATGTTTGCAGAAAGGGGTACCATGCCATAAACGTTCAAGCTGTATGCGACAGTAAGATGAGGTATTTATCTATTTAATTTGGTCCAAATACGAACAAAAGCACATCAATCGTTCCAGTTGTAAAATAAGCGCATTTCGCTTGGCTATAGCTTGTTTTGTATCATCTTAAATTGGAATACCTATATCTATTTCTAGATTTACAAACCTCATGGATACCATGAGTGAAAGTGATAATGAGTCCAGTTGGCTCCTTGGTGATTCAGGCTACCCATTGAGACTCTGGCTCATGACACCACTTCTAAACCCAAACACGGAGCAGGAACACAAATACAACCAAGCCCATGCCAAGACAAGAGTTGTGATATACAGCTCGAAACAACATATTATTCGAACAAACCTTCTGCATTGTCACTTCTAAATTTTCTTTTTGGTTTCATCTTTTCTTCGAGAAATAGAATCACATTTAGTTCAAACATTAAGAATCTTTGGATAATATGCTTATTCATTACATGTATATATCATTATATATCAGTGACAATGTTTATCAATTCTACAGTTTTCTTTGTAAGCAAATTTATCAAGGTGTTTCTTTAGTTTTGAGGTAAATAATTTTGGCAATATTCCTGTAGAAAATTTGACTTACCTTTCTCTGTAGATACCTCCCATATCAAACTAGATATTTCATTTGTTTCTGTAAATAATAAAATGTCCAAAATGTTAATAAATATATAAACATTTCAAAGGTTTTACACTTATAAAGATAGCTTGCGTTGCAAGGTAACATACGCCCACTGGCAGCTGTCAGAAATAATAAAACAGTCTTTAGTGACTTTACGAATTTTCTCATATAGAAGAAATTATTTATGCTGAATTATTCCACAAAATTTTTTAAAATCAATATCAATAATCCAAATACAACAAACAATTAAATCAAACAGCTCTAATCAAGGGCAAAAGAAAAGCGTGTTTACAAAGTCAAGGGCAATAACTCAAAAAATGTTCATCAAAAATATCTCTTGTTAGAACTTGTCCGAGATCTTATCAATTCCAATGATCACACCAAGTTTCATCAAAATCGGTTGAAAACTGTAGCTTTTATTGTGCTCACAAACAAATTTTGACGCGTTTTTCGTAAGTTAATGGCATTAACTCAAAACATTTCATCGAAAATGCGTCAAGTTAGAACTTGTCCGAGATCTTATCAATTTCAATGATCACACCAAGTTTCATCAGAATCGGTTGAAAACTGTAGCTTCTATTGTGCTCACGAGCAAATTTTGACGCATTTTTACAAAGTCAAGGGCAATAACTCAAAAACTGTTCATCGAAAATGCATCAAGTTAGAACTTGTCCGAGATCTTATCAATTCCAATGATCACACCAAGTTTCATCAGAATCTGTTGAAAACTGTAGCGTCAATCCTGCTCACAAACTATTTTT